CATTGGGTCTTACTTAACTACATCTCACAACCAGTTTAGGTTTCAAGCCTGGTCACGGGACTGACATGTGCATTTTTACAATAAAGCAGCTAGCTACTTATTATTCCAAAAAATCATCACCAGTTTTCATAGCTTTTTTGGATGCCACTAAAGCTTTTGATAAAGTTAATCACTGGACTCTATTTCGTAAATTAATTAACAGAAGAATCCCCAAATTTTTTTTGTCGCTGATTGTACACATGTATCGTAATCAATCCATGTTTGTTAGATGGGGTAGCAGTGTGTCAGATCCTTTCTCTGTCCATAATGGTACCAAGCAAGGTAGTATATTAAGTCCATATTTATATGCTGTTTTCATGGATGACCTTTCTGTTAGGTTGAATCAAGAGACCATTGGATGTGTAGCAAATAACAATATTATCAATCATATTTTTTATGCTGATGACATGTGTTGCATTTCACCTTCAGCCAAAGGTCTTCAACGTTTACTTAACATATGCGATAAATACTCTATTGAACATGACATCTTGTACAACTCGAAAAAATCTGTTTGTATGTGTATCCAGAATAAAAAGTTTAGGCTGAATAATTTGCCTGATATCAAACTTTGTAATTCTGTATTGACTTATGTTTCGTCCACTAAATATCTTGGTGTTTTCCTATCCAGTGATCTTAGAGATGACCTTGACTTGAAACGTCAGTATAAATCAATTTATTTTATAGCCCATACAATTTTGAAAAAATTTGTCAATTGTTCCACTACTGTGAAAAATCTTTTATTTAGGACGTATTGTTGTAGCATTTATAACTGCCAGCTCTGGTTGTTTTTCAATAATTATAATTATAAAAAAGTTAAAATTTCATATAATAATGCTTTTCGCGTAATTCACTGTGTCTCTAGATCTGAGAGTGTCCGTCACAAAATGGTATCTGGGAACATTCCCTCTTTCGAAGCACTCAGTAATCAGTAGTTTATTTCTCACCATACTTAAAATAGGCACAAACATACAAATTGCAATAAATTAAATTATAAATTGGCCATATTTCAGGGTGAAGGAGACGCGAGAAACCAATACTGGTTATCGAGCAGCGGCACCTATAAAATAAGTCTAACACTATAATATAAAAAACAAAAAAACGAACTAAGTTTAAATAAATTGAGGAAAAAAATACATAAAATATCTCGAGACGATCTGCTGTAACCAGCAATCGCTCGCTTCAACCAAAGTGACTATAATAGTCACTTAGGCTTCAACAAAAGAAAAGACAACTCCGAACACCACTGATTCGGTAGCCATGGAGATGGCGTTAGTGGATTGTATCACAACAATACTATTGTGAAGCCCATTAGCTAACAATGGGCAATAAATGTCAAATTCTGATGGCGCATGGTTATTGGTTACAGTGGAACCCATGTTTTGCTGAGGGCGACAACAGGATCACCAACGAATAAACCATACCTTTATGCTAGAAAGGAATTGAGGTACCTGTTAATGGGATCTAGTGATTGGCAGCTGGAGTCAGGGCTTCACATAACGTTACAGGTAATATAAAATCAGGGAAGACATGAAATATCAAAATGTGAAAGATATTCCATAACAGTCATTCGAAACGAATGTAACCTAGTATCAACATTCACAGTGGGAAACTAGATAGACTACAAGACATGAAACAGCAAAACTAAGAAGAGTCAAGTACCGTAGTCTAATAGTTGAGTGAACCAATGAAGCAAAGTTTAAAAGTACATAAAAAAATATTATTTATCAGGTAATACTTTTACAATGTTATATAAGAGTATAATGACAATCAGATAAACAATTTAGGCTTTACTGACTGCAAGAGAAAACAAGTCACAATGTTAAGCTAATTAACCAAGATCTTGAGCAGATGGGCTTAGAATTTCAATGTGGTTAAATTCGTACAAAGCTTCATGAACCATCTCAAACATAAGAAAAGTAGTTTACTATATTGTGCAGGTTACGAACAAATACAGGTCATGCAATTACCATGGCACACTTTACATAATTCAAATCACTGGCAAGAATGCAATAAGATGAGGACATGAAAAAATTGAAAAAAAAAAAAAAAAGTATTATTATTACAGGTATAGGCCTAGCGGAGCAAGCGGGAAAGAGAAATCTGTGGTTGTTCATGACAAGATGCAGGAACTCCAATAACATTTTATTACAATCAATATTTGATTCCCAGATACTGTTTGTTACGGGCTATCTTAGATTCTATACCTCACTTTTGGTCTCTTAAATTGCTTTTTTATAACTCTTTTTTGAGCCTTACTGTGAATCTGATTGTCATATCAGTTATTTTATGTATTTATTGCGTTATTTTTGTTTTGCTTATGTTTATTTGTTGTGTTGTTTTTATATGGACAACAGCGGTCTGGAGTAATAAACGAATTGAATTGAATTGAATTTATCTGCAGATACCAGGTTTATATTGAGGTTGACCATTTCAATGCTAAATTATAGCAAAAAGACAAACTTGATTCGCAAAGATTTGTGAATGCATACAGTACACCAATTTGTCTAGTGTTTTGATTCCATAGGCAGGAGGTTGTGGATCGGTGTTGCTCAGGATCGGATATTTTTGCTTATAAATGCATATTACGTGTTTCACATGAATCCATCGTGCCCAGATTCGACTGTTTTCAAGGTCTGAAGGCTCCAACTGCTTAATTTTATTGGTACACGTGGGAATTTTCAGTGTGGCATGCATGGGTCAGTTGGAGTCTCTAACATCAAGATATCTATAAGCAAGAATAAGATAACCTGGAAGTAACATTCCATAATTTAGAGTAAAAAATGTATCTGCCTCCACAGCCCTTTCAAATGGGTGATATGTTGCCTTGAGGGGTAATTTCTATCAAATATTTATCAATATACAGTGTTATGGTTCTTCTAGTGAAAATGGGTTTAGGGATAGGCGGCTTCTTTTTAAGTGTGTTAGGTCTAGTAGTTGAAAGAAACATCAAATGTATATGCTAACAACTGCAAATTGATATTGCAACGCATACAAGTTAACAGAATTTGTTGAAATGATCCTGCCGCCTTTTGCCTTTCTTCAAAATCCACCTTTTTCTAAGTATTCTTTTCCTCTCTGGGGATGGCGAAAATTCAAATATTGATGGGACAGCTGATAATGGGTTATTTTTCCTGAAAAGAATTTACACACTAATCATCATTTAACAGTGCTAAGTTTGTGTATCAGATCAGTAATAGATTACCTGCTAACTAACGAAACAATTAGACAACACTTTCTGACCATCGATGAAGATTTCTTTCAATTTAAAACGCAAATAGGTCTACCAATACCGGTAGTTTTTAGGATAGCCTGGTAGTTTCACAGGTTCCTATCCCATGCGGGGATAGTTATGTGCGAGAGGATTGCAGCACTCATCCCACTGAGGGTAGTTCACACGGCCGCTGGTCGGTTACGACATCCCCCACATCAAGTCCATGCTTCTGAAAACAAATAACTGGCTAACTAATCTCGATATATAATGGTAATCGTACGATGTTGCACATGCAATACCCCCCTGCCAATAGATGATATCTACATTGCGGGACGTTCCGGATCTTTTGAAAACAGTGGAATATAACTGAATATCCATTTCGTTGTCTATACTATACGTACAACCAACGGTACAATATGAAATAATCATTTTCAACAGCCAAACAAAACGGAAACATATAATCCGACTTTCAACTGACAGGAGCCAGCTGGACGTTTTTGTTTTTTTGCCGTCCAGTAAACTAAGTCACGTGACCCGTGCAAGTCCTCTATTGGCTACCTAGGACATTCACAACTTACTCTTTTCATGCTGAACAATCGTAGCACAAAGTTATTCTCTACTACATCTACTCATTGGAGCTTTAAAGTGAATTTGAAATCTTCAGATTTTTCTGTCATTTGTCAACATGCTTTCGAGTGCTAGGACCGGTTCTAGGGCAGGGGTGGGCATCCCCTGGCACGCGTACTAACCATTTATTTGGCACGCGAGCGAATCATCAGACACAAGATCATTCTTCTTCAGATATAAAGTTTCTGAATTATCTAGTTCTGAGGCTCTGAATTATCTGATGAAACTAGGTGTTCATTTATTCATTATCGTATGTTACCAATTCGTTATTTATTCTGACTCTTCCTTTCCTTTCATGACATATGGCTACGTAGAAATATATTAAGTCGTAACAAATGAGTGAGCTCTCGAGAAATTTTGTCGAGAATAGCGCAGTATTAATTTGGCTGCATTCTTACGTAACATAGTTCGTCTGTGCCACCCTTTTCTTCATTTCTGGTTGATTTATGAAGTTGTACAGCTCATGTGGGTTAGTGTTAATTGCTAACTTACTGTTATAAATTGATTTCGGAAGAAATATAAGCGATTAGAGAAGGGGAATATGGTACAAGAGAAAATTGCAGAAAACGAACTATTGCTGTATTGCGTGATTGGGAAGCCATTCCCGAAAATTTGTCGTGTCCTTAAAACTTCGCAATCGCATTATTCTCCATGTTTTCATCTAAATATGCTTGTGAATATCATTTATGGACTCGAGTCTCGTAACAGTAGTAGCTTGAAAGATGAAACCAGTACTGTAGTTGGTGCATTTTTTTGAAAGTTACAAAACATTTTTTTAATTTTGGTCGGCACGCGAAAGAATTTTGTCGTTAAATTCAGCTGATTTTGGCACGCGAGCCGGAAAAGGTTGCCCACCCCTGTTCTAAGGCCTTCCCTCTCAAATGATTGCCCTTCTATTTTGTTTTGTAATCTGCATTTTATAATAAAATCTTTATTTATGTTGATGCACAAGTAATTTGAATATTTATAAAGTCACTTACGCACAACTAATTCGAATAATTATAAAGTCACTCACTTAATCTAGTCGCGAGACAACGCCCTCAGAACACAGGCAAACGCACGATGATTTTGGAAGCAATAATCTGCCTGAGCCTAGTCGGGCGTGACGGCGAATGCAACATTGGGACCAAATATCGAGAGTTACACGGTCTGAGTGAGAAAAGTGTCTGAGCGAATGCGAAAAAGGAGCATTGTTACATCACTTTTTGCATCTTGCTGATTGGCCGATGTCACGAAGTAAACAAGGAAGTCGATGTTCGGGTAAAGGTCCATTACAACTTTTCTTTTGTTCAAAATTTTTCTTTAAGAAGGTTTCGCCACAATAACATTTTCTCTGTTTCGCGCTGTTTCCTTATGTTCTGCGCTGTTTGCGGTGGTTTGCGCTGTATTCAGTAAGTAGTAAGACCGTTTAATGACACTTTGCAGGGCTCGGTACGGTACGGTAGTCTTAGGCTTCAGGCCAGTAATCGGTTCAAGTGTTGTTGTTTAATATTTCAGTAGTTACCAGGTTAGGTACTGACGCTGAAGCCTGGAAGCATTCCACATCTCAAACATGAGCAAATTCACTATTAGTCATGGACAGAATACTGTTCCTATGAATTTATTTGCAACATGGGAGGTTGATAGATCTTCACCACATTGCATTCCAAGGTGAGGTGTTTTCTTTTGTTGGAGCTTGATCCCGTCATGTTCGTTTCAGACTTTTGATTCTGATGGCCTAGCCAGTGTTCAGATGTTCGGTTTTTGACTTTACTCAGAACTTCGTTGTTTCAATATACTGCGGTGGAGTTTAAGACATTGTGATATCAAACGTTTACCCATAACTTACCGTACCTGTTTTATAACATGATATTCACTACCAACATTTTGATCTGCTGTTTTAAGTACAGATAGTCGAATTAACGAAACTTATCAAGAAATGCCCCAAGTCTGGGACACGAATCTCATTTCAGCATTTACTGAAAATATTATTAACAAATATTATTGAAAAACCAGAAATTCTGTTTTTCTTTTTGTGTCTTAAGTTGAATAATTTGAATTTAGAGTCTGTAGTCTTGCACTAAGAAAACTGATCGTTATCAAAGAACTAGACAAAGACTTACAATCAATATTTCTTGCTGTGAAAATGCAGGTAAAGTTTGCTCCATTTTTGTGGAATTTAGTGATAGTGGAATGATATAACTTGATACGATGATGCTATTTATTTCTGAGGGCTCCATTTTGGAATTACATCAATTGGCAAAATACTAGATTGAAATATTGTCATTTTTATATTAAATGAAGGGATTATGATTGTGTCATACTGCCATAGTATGGCCCTCACATGTCTAAAGTAATCTTTTTAAATCAGCCGTTAAATTATTGAAAATATGTTCTGAAAGTCCCATTTTAGATTAAGTCTATTAGTTTGAGTTGAACATTTACATCTGGCTTTTGTGGAATATTGTATTTCATGCAGATTATCTGTTAATTGGAATATAAGTTTCAATGACCTATTAAATAAATGTTTGGTTCAGGGATCAAAGAGAGTGCTGCGATCTAATGAAATTGGACTTCCAGCTAACGGCCTTCTAACGATGGATCTCGAACTTACATTTTCTTTACAAGTAATGAAATTATCAATATTGTTGAAAAAGCTTGTCAGTTATCGATATTTCAGATTCATCAAGTAGTCCCAATTTCAAAAATGTCTCTCGTGTCCTACATTATTTTTTGCTCATTCACATCCAACAAAGTAATAATAACTCAAGAAAGTATGTATTCAAACTATTTTCTGTTAAAATGAGCAATTTGTCATTTTTTTCTGACTTTTTATCATATAATTAAATAAATTAAACTATGTTTGTACATGTTAACACATGACAGTAATTTTAATAAGCCCCATTGCTTGCTTCACCATTTTCTGATTCAAAATTCCAAATCATTATTAGTATTCCTACAAACTGTGTTTTCTGTAGATGAAACTGAATTCAAGTCATTATCATGTTGCCTATTATATGGTAAACTTTCTATTTACAGTATCCACATTTTATTAAAAGAGATGGCAATATATTGCAAGTAATGTTGCAGCGTAGAAAGAGATATAAAAACCGTGCAATGCTGGGATATAAAACATTGGCTATTGGAACAGTTGATATGGCTCAGGTGAATAATGTATTTTTGATACAACTGAGAAGTTTCTCTTCAAGTTTTATAGCCTTTAATTGTTACCGCTTACTCATGTATAGGACTTTATTGTGGGTCTTATTTAATGGGAATGTCATCTTAATTTTGCGTTCAAATTGTTCAAGCATTGACTTGAGGCACATATTTTTAACAGTATTTATGAAGACAAAAACTGCTGTCCAGAGTAGACTGTTCTGGCCTAGATTCCAACTGGCTTGTGTTTGGAATAAAAAATTTCAAGATTATCATCACTGAATCCTTGATTTTAAATATTACGTATGGTCAAATGTCATCACATGGTCTTCTCTAATGCGCTTATGACATTTAAAAGAGCAATGATATTGGCACTTAATTGTTGTTGAAGTACGATGTCAATTATATTGTTTATTATGAGAACCTGTGTTTTGTGGAACTCCCCCTTTATCCATATACCCATTTCTACCAATATCCAGTGCCATCTAGAAAGAATCGTCATGCTTTACGCTAGGCATATATGTAGCGTGTGTTTTTCACACTATATAAATTTATAAGGACACAATCACGATGTTCTACCTATTTCAGATAATACAAAGTCCTATTGTGGAAGAGTCCGTGCTTGATTTAATGAGCACAAACAAAGATCGTCGAAACAGTGTTGTAGTCTCTGCACAGGTTGTGATGTCATCTGTGTATAGTACACCTACTGATGAAGTTGAAGTTGGAATTGGGAGATCAGGCAAACAAACAGAAGCAGGTGATCAATTTGTTTATATATTTGATTCCAATTATTCAATCAGATGCATAAATAGAAAGTGTAATTTTTTCATGAGTCACGTATATGCTACAATTGTTACAGATCGTTCTCCCGATGTTGATAATTACACTGATGATGAAGAAACATTTTCATCGGATCCTGAGATGGGGAGTGATGTTAATCCTCAGGTATCATAGCTTATGTCTGTGTTGTCGTTTTTTTATCTGAATAGTTTGATCGTTCACACGATTGTCTGACTCCCAGACTTTTGAGTTGATAAATCATATTTGCTGTTTACTTTGTAAAGGGTAACAAAAATGAAATCAAAAATTGTCTGTTTGATTATATGATTCGATAGAGTTGCATCTCATTTATTTTCATGTAATTTAGGAGTATATTGACGATGAAGAAAATCATAAAAGAAAAGAAAGAAGAAAAGTTCGAATGTCATCTTCATCGAGGCAACAAAATTTTATCAAAGCAAAATTAGTTGCATTGCTAAGAAGATTTAAGCAAGTTGAAGATGAGGTTAATTACTTTTATGTTGCATTAATATACTCAATGTGAAAAATGATAGATTTAACTGAGAATCATAAACCAAAAATGTTATATTTTATATTAATTTACTTTGTATTTCCTTTTTTTTTCAAGGGTTTGGAACAAGAAATGGGACAAGATCCAGATGTAGTTGTACCAGGTCCAGATGATTTGGATTTTCTTTATGATGAAATTGAAGATCTTAATTTCAGTGATAGTTGTCCTGAAGTTGAGGATAATATCAGTATTGTGTCTACCCCCAAACCAAAATTGAGGTATGGATGAGTTTCAAATATGTGCTTCACAATATTTGCTTATTCCTATTCATAAAGGTTCTGTAATGGGTGACTGAAGTTACCCCAATTTTCTATGTAAATCATTTACCGCTCAAGAAATCATAACAATCATTTTACACTAACAGGCCATTTTTCGATCGTACATCACATTCAAGTTCTCAAACAGAAGTATGTAGTCTGAGAGATCAACCAAGTGGAGAACATGTATGTTACTTTAATGGTGTGATTTTCTAACACATATTTTGATATTTGCTGATTTTGGGATTTTGCTGCAATTTTTCTCTTCCTTTGGGGTTCATTCATCAAATTTTCGAAAAGCATGATTGTCCTTGGTTCATGACCTTAAGTAGGCTCAGTAAGTGAATTTCTTGTTACTTATCGATCTTGATCGGTGAGTATGTTGATAGGTATTTGTCTGTCTGTCTGTTAGACAATTTCGTATGTTACGCGATATCTCATGAAAGCGAGGTTTAATCTGCTCCAAATTTTTCATGTGCATTCATCATATCTCGGACCAGAAGCCTATTGATTTTGGATGAATTATGTTGCATAATTAGCGAGTTATTAATTAATTTTTTTTTTTTGCGGAAGATTGATAAGTCGGCGGTCTCCGATCGCTATCTCGTTTTGTTTATGAGTACCTTAACTCCATTTTGGCAAGCTGGCCTGGCAATCACACTCTCATAATTGATACATTTTTAATGTAAGATCGGAAACTTCTACTCTGCAGTTAACATTGGCTCAACTTTAGATTTAGGATAATATACGGAATCGAACTATGAGACGCAGTGTTATAAAATATCATAAATTTTTCTTTTATATTCACATATTGGTTTGGAACTTTATTATTATTTTCACAAAATGGATTACAATTCTATACATCAGTCGATAAGGATTTAGTAAATAATGTTATACTTATTTAAAATATGACTTAAAACTGTCGAACGTATTTTGTTGCTAATAAAAGTAGTGTTTATTTACTGTTAGATCCATTATGGTCAAGATTCAAGAGAAAATAGTCTTGGGAGAAGAAATCGTGAAGTCAAGGTTTGTTGCACAAATCTTTATGTTTTCGAAGTAGTTTGCTTGCTTTTACTGAATTACTTTTTTTTTTATTAATGTATGAAATTTTTCAATAGGAAACATTCGAATCTTTGAGAAATTCTGATAAAACACCTGCAATAGATCAGAGTGATTCTAGTGAAGAAGATGATCAGAATGTTATCATTCAGCAAGCTGCTAATTTCTCACACCCAGGCAAGTTGGTTACTAATTCTAAATTACGCAACTTTCATTCTCAAATTGGGTTTCTTTTGATTGGCTCTCAATGACACCGTATATATATAGCTCTTGTTTTTTTTTGCCTTATTTCCATTTTTAGTTGATGTCTAGAGACCTTGCCTGCAGCAAATTTATATATGCAAAAAAACAATTGGTGTTCATTTAATTTGTCATCAAAAGGCATCGCAATCAATACAACAAACAGATGATTGATTAGTCTGGTGGTTATTAGACTTTATATATGGTAACTTCATGGTATTATAAATTATTGCTCAGTTTATGTTGGACTAAATCTTCATTAAAAAACAATGTCTTCACTAGTATTATGGAATATATAAATACTATTTCAATCTCAGATTCTTTTCGACAATTCAATCTACTCGATGATGAAGTTGCTCGATTTGGATCTGAACCTGGATCACCTTGCCATTCTCAAAATCCCTCAACGTCTATTAATAATCAAACTAAAAGAAGAAAACGATCTTGGCCAAGATCTCGTTCGCCTTCTTTTCAAATGACTGAAGGAAAGTATACAGAAACTGCAAGTAGTGCAGAAGAACTTGACTTGGTAAAATGTTTTTGTTTAGGACTGAATACATAACCTATAGAAATCTGCAGTGTATGGTTATTAATAAGGGACAATTAATGAGTTTTGAGATAGCTGGCTGTTTTGTGATTAAAGCTTGGAAAAGAAAGTTTGTATGGATTGGTCAATCTAATAACATTGTAGTTTTGAAATTAATTTACTCCAGCTTTTCATGTGAATCAAATGTTGGAAGTTCCCTTCTGGCAAATAGAGATATTTATAGGGCTATTTCAAATTAGCGCCAAATTTTAAATATCGTTTTAGGTGAATATTAATTGATGGATGTTTTGATCTATATTCTTCAAAAATGTAAATTTGGAGTTAGTGAAAATTCAGTCTCGATTTACTGTTAGTAGCCTACAATGGATGAGCGTGGGAAGTGAAATGAAATAAGAAGAGGAAATAAAAGCTAGCACTTAATATTTACCGTAGATATGATAAAGATTTATTTACTGGCCAAATTTTAAATCAGCCATCTAGAATGTTGACTGTTGTTAACCGAAATCATCCAGTTTAAAAGTGTAACATTCCATTGAACAGTCTTCAGTGTATAGTATACATTTTGGCTCATTTCCTGGTTTACAGTAATTAGAATAATGGAAGGAAGTGCAAATTATGATGAAATTGTTAAGTATGTATTGAAAATTTACTTGTTTTTAGTCGCTTAAAAGTTCTTTTACAGTTAAAATGGACAAAGAGAATATCTGTCATGAACATATCAACACAAAGTGCCGAAGCAGTTTTTGTCATATCAATTAATCTGACATAAAATTATTGTTAGTTTTGCCAAATTATGTATATTTATATTTCAATAAAAGCTATGCAAATATGATTGTTTGACTTGCTCGATGTTCTAAAATTCGTTCCTGTTTATTATTACCGTAATTTGTCAATTACCTAGTAAAATCGTGTTGTTACACATATAAATTCGGAGTAGTACCTTTTGAGAAATTCTTATAATCATATTCTGAATACACTTCTCTCCCTCATATTAAATTTAAATTTCTAGTCCTTGCCACAACAACAAACATCGTTGCATGTTATAAACGGAAGCTTCACTGCAGAAGATGATGACATCACTCATTCATGTACATTGCCGAGTCCACTGCTTCTAGTAAACAGATCAGATCGAAATGGAAAAAATTTTGCAGAAGCATTACAAAGTTATATTGCAGCAGGAAACACAGCGGAGACTGTGATATTGGCAACAAGTTCTCAAGATCAATTGAGTTCTGTGTTCAATGTTCTCATATCAAAATTGCAAAAATTGTGAGTAAATATAAAGTTACACATTTTCAAACTTCTTCCAGTTCAGAATAAGACAAGATTTCAAGTTATTGAAAGAAGAAGAAAATTTTGCATTATGCGATCAACCACTGCCATATTTCCTCTAAATCATCAATTTAAATGTGGCAATAGTTAGACAGTCGTACATTTCTGGTGACGAATGTGTGATTACTTGAACCTCTCTGTGAAATATGAGCACTCAGAAATACCTTAATCTGCAAAAATTATTTCAGTGAGACATATTCTCTATTTTCGAATCGTATTTAGATTGAATTACAAAAAATGGCCAATTGCATTTTCCATTATTTCAAGGCGTTATAATTTTTCAAATATCTTTTCAGTATAAACAGCAATTCACAACAGCCAATGAGAGTGAAAGTTGGAATTGCTGGAACGGAATCTTATGTCAATCTTGTTCTTCGACAGTTTGTGGAATTCTTAAGTTCAAGATCACCTGATTGGATTACTTATTTTCTATTTTTTGTCATACCTTTAGGTAAGTTACACTGTGTAACTATGGCCGTAGGTAAGATATGGCCGTAAATATCGAAGTAAGCTTTGATGTTTATCATTTTTCATATGCATGGACCATCAAGTTCGAAACATTCTTCAACCTTATATGTGGTCTTATTAAGTAACCATGTGCTGTTTGTTTTGTTTGAAAGTCATTTGCATTTGTCAAAATTCTTCATGCAACTAAATACGGTTATACATCAAGTTATACTTGAATTGAACTCTATATTCTTTGATTCAGGTAAAAATCAGATTGGACAATACCTTTGTTCGTTAGACAGTCACTACGCTAAGCTTTTCAATGATCAATTATGGCGTGAAACTTTTGACAAGGGTCCAGCCTCTACAAAAGCACATACACCTAATTCTATATCAATGGAACATCATACTGCATCATTCGAAAACCAACAAAATACAGAAAAAACTTGCGTCAGACGAGCTCTTGAATATATTGATGAAGCTTCTGCTACTTTATCGCTTTCTGTCGCCGAGGCAATGTTGACTTTCGGACAGAAAAGGTGTGTACATTATTTTCCTTATTATAAATTATTTGTAATTCCTTTACTTCAAAAAACTTTTAAAAAGTGTTTGGTAATAAGGAGGATGATTTATGTTTCTGGTGCATTCGGGCATCGATTTTGTGCTTCAATGCACTCTGTCTATTGCCTGTAGATGGTCTCAATACCTTTTCTGGTCTACGGAATTCAATAAATTTTTTATTCACAAATTCAACGAGATGACACATGTTGTAATTCTTATTAATAATTGATGCACTTGTGTGTTGCATGCAGTGAAAATGAAGACACATCACAGAAGTTTGTGCCATTCGTTTCTGTGAGTATTAATTTCATCATTCAAAATTTAATTTTGACAATGGAAAGATTCTGCATTAGAAATGATATTATGAGTGTAATCTTTTATTAGATTAAATTAGGACCCCAAACAAGAATGTGATACTTTGAAGCAATTGTACTGAAACATATAGGAAGGATATTATATTACTTACGAGACAAGTATTTAGGCCCAAGGGTTGAAACTTTTTATTATCAATCAATTACTATATTTAAGGTGACAATGACTATTTTCACGTACTACCTTAGTTTATATTTGTTTAAGAACTGTACGATTATTATATATAATTATTTACAGTGATACCTTGGTAGTTGAACGACTCAATACTTGAATAATTCTTATTGCAAAACGGTACTCGAACAAATTGGTAGTCAAACACCAATCCTGAACGAATTATGTTCGAATACCGAGATATCACTATATATAGTTATATAAAGAATTGTACAATAGCATAGTATGGTTGCATGTTGCATTGAATTATTTTTGATGTGGGAGACTAAATTCTTTTCATCCATAACTTGATCCTATTTGTCTTTTGTTTAGGTCTTCACTTAATCAATTCCAGAGTTGTGGTTGTCTCCCTACCTTTTTGCAAATGATAACTTTTTGAGTTTTATTTCAACTGTCTGCCGTTTCAAGTGTTGATCATAACCTTATTCATATGAAGTTTAAATTTTACTTACCGTAATAAAAACAGGGTGCAAAGGTTGGAGAAAATGAGTTCTTAATGCAACATGACTCGGATAAGGAGGATATTGTGTCTGGTCCAACATTAGCTTCAATTTCTGCTAATACTACTGCGTCACCTGCAGCACAGGCTACTGCATCAACAGGTGGAGCAACTGCCATGCCAACATCTCCTGCCATTAACAACACTTCAAACTCTCAGTAAGATTTCTGTTTGCTATCTGCTGCACAGCTAATTACACACTCTTATGGCACACTTTTGTTTGTGTTTGCTTGAACAAAGTGGGGACACCACAGATAGTAAGTGGTTTAGACCAAATCATTGATGTGCTGAGCAAGAGATTCCTAAATTCAGATGATTTTGATTGTCGAATTATTACCAAAAACTATGCTAAACAAGCATTGACTGGGTTGCAAAGGGCTAAAACTCTGTCTCAATTTATGACTTTGTTTTGTAAACATCGACTCTATTTATAGGAAAAATGTCAAATCATTGGAATTATTCTCTATATTTCTATCACAATTTGAAAAATAGCTTTTTAAGTGATAAAATGGTGGTTTGAATTCAGACATGCCAGTATTGCGGGATCTACTGATTCGAAGATGGGACTTCAAGTTGATTATTGGAAAGATCGTGATTCCACCAAATATACTCTGAAAACAACCTTCAAGTCATTCCATGTTTCAAAGCTTCCAACAATGGGAGAACATATTGCTTCACCTGGTTTAGAATTGGATGTTGTCACTATCGGCAAAAAGAATATAAGTATGTTTAAAGGTTTATTGAAATGCGAGATGAATTTGTTGGATCATTGAGGTGTTGTGGTCCACTTTATGATTTGTTGTAGGCAGTGGTGGGATTCAAAATTTGGTACTCCCAAAGTATGTGAACCAAGATGGTGGACACCGGAATGTAGTATGTGTACAAATTTAGTGTTAGGCCGTAATTTCAGGTACAAATACTTTGGGAGTCATTTGGCTAGTCCCCGAACTTGTAATAGAACTAAAATAGAAATAAAATTATGGCCTAACATTGCAGATTTAATGGACACAATCATAGTTCCTCCTTATGACTGAACAGCTTTCAAAATTGTAAAAATATATTACATCAAGAATGTTTTACATGGTGCCAAACGTAATTAGTCACAACATATAATAAAACATTAAAGCAAATCCATTCTTTCCAAACAGATGAGCTACAATAGTGATTCTGTACAAGATTAAAAAACCCATGCAGTATCTCATCTTCTTCAACAATATTATATTAAATCATATTTACAGTGAGATTACCTGGAAAGAAAGGGAAAGAAAAAGAAGCTGAATCGAAATCATTGATTATTTCCAATATTAATCGCATCATATGTACTTCAAAGCATCAGCACAATTTATTGAAAGGTGAAAATATTTTTGGTATATTTCCTAATCTAAAGATGTGACCGGTTTTTAGTCTGATAAATTGAAAATATTCTCTTCTTTAAATGTTTGATTTATATACGACTAAACATGTACTATGGAAATATGGGTGCTCCTGAAGTATGCGAACCAAGATGGCGGACATCGAAACGTAGCATGGGTAACAGGTTAGGGTTAGGCCATAATTTTATTCCAATTTCCCTTATTTTAGTTCTACCATGAGTTCGAAGACTAGCCAAGTGCCTCTCGTAGTATTTGTACCTAAAATTATAACTTAACCCTAACCTAGTACACATATTACGTTCCGATGTCCGCCATCTTGGTTCGCATACTTCAGGAGCCCCGAAATATGTAATCAATGATCAGAGCTCATGATTATCTAATACTTTCTTATGACTTTATGACATATTGCTACCATGATGTGATTTGTACTAGAGAACCCGGGTATTTCTTCACAGCTTATATAAACTGTTGTGGAATTCTTTCAGTTGAGATACAAGCTTGAAACAATCTGAATTGCTTTATAAGATCTTGCTTCTTGCCTCATACTTGTCATTTATTTTTCAGTTAAAATTGACGGAATTGAATGGAAAGAGGTTAAATTTTTCCAGCTATCATCTCATTGGTCATCTCACGTTAAAACTTTTCCTGTTGGATTATTTTCAGCTCATTGAAGTTTCAAGTTCATTATTAAATATATATTCTACTTTTGTAACCATGACGACAATATTGCAATAAAATTATACTTGCCAGTATTAGTATATTACGAACTTGTTAATAAAGCTAATTTGACAAAATCCATCCTTGTTTAGAAGAAGTCTCGCCTGCAACAGCATTCTAGATAATTTTTCCACAAACATTTTGTAATTACCAAGTCGAAATTTTATAAAATGGGGATTGTTTTTCTGAAAGACAGTTTACAATCTCTCTATTCTTTAATATTCTCAACATTTAATGCAGGCAAAAAAAAAATTTTTCATTAGCTAAAAAATAACATGGAAAGCTTTTGTTAAATTTTCATTGCTTTCTTCAACAACGCATTTGGTTGCCATTTTGTGTAAACTATTTTTTAAAAATAACATCTTCAAGATGGCCTTTCTAGCTGCAATACATTGCTATAACGAATCCTTAAGTTTTCCATCGACAACTGAGTGATTTCTTGTTGTGCTGAGTGCTGACCATCCCACATATCCCCATGCAAAAAAATAATTAAATACGCTGGAAAGAGGTCCTCCAAAACATTGATTGATATTTTTACTGCATGGCCAGTTGCTCCATTATGTTGAAACCATACTGTTGCATTTTCTGTAAGATTCTTGAGTTTGGCATATTTTCCCCCCTATTCAAAAGAGAATGGGCCCCAAATTCCAAAACTTGCAACTGCACATCGTACTCGCTCGCTATGAGGAAGCATTTCATGTGGCTTTCTAAGTGTACTTTCTGTCCAGAAGCGAAATTTTGCTTCTTGACAACCAGATAAATGAAAGTGAGCTTTTCACTGACAATCGGAATATCTTTTTGCCTTGCGCTGTGTCTTTGAATCAGCTACAGCCTGGTTCACAAAGTAGGCGTCGCGATTCACGCGTCGTTTCGATATTGCTAGGGCGGCGCAAAACTCTTCTCCTTGTACCTGTTTTGCGCTACATGAAAAACTATGCTGTACAATGAATTCTAAAACGAAGATTCGCAAGTCATTTTAGGATTTATTTGGATAAAGATTATCATTTTTTGGTTAAAAAATCGTTGCTCACTCTCACCCCCTTTGCGACGTCGTATTTATGTGAAGCAGGCTTCTCTACCATGGTTGTTGTAGTCCAGACGAAATGTCGATCTTAAGCAAATGTTGAAAGGTAGTACCTACCTTAATTGTAGGTCCCTTCCAAACTCCTTAAAAACATAAAAAGATTTACCACAGCATTATAAACGGTTCCGGTGATTTATAAAATCTAGAACAAGGAATCTCTTTAGTCCTGATAGAAGTGATGCATCTTTTAAGTTCGAAACTACACAAAACCGACCCAAAATTTTGAGTTTTGCCGAGAAGATTCAACGGCAAGTTTCTCATCGATACGGCATTAATATCTGTGACCCACATTCTTCTTTACCGTATTAAAAATATTTTTGTTTCATTCTTTAAAAAAGGGTTTGTCATACCTGGTATATATATATATATATTAAACTGCACTCATCTAATAGCATAAAAATCGACAGCATTGAGAAGGCTTGATAGTAGCTAAAAGTATTTATATATAATATCAGTGGTGGGATTCAGCCGGTTCTATAGAACCGTCTCACGGAATTTAATGAGATCAGCGAACCGGTCAGCATTACTGGTTACTGTCAATGACTTTTTGGCAACAGAACCGGCTGAAACATGTGACTTTTGTGATGGAACCGGCTAACAAAAAATTTGAATCCCACCACTGTATAATATATATATATATATAATATCGCATTCTTCATACGGGTCATATAAAGTTTCTTACGGCCACTATAGCATGACTTATTGTAAATGACCGATGTTTGGATTCTATTATGGACCCGAACAGATTTGGAGGAAGTCGAGGTGATGACCACGTTTGAAATCCAAAACAAAACGACAAACTGTATAGGATCATTTTATATTGAAATATCCCTTGCCTCGCCGTGAAACTACGCAAAATGTTACGTTCTGGCATCTGCCCACGGTGTCGGAATAATAATTTCAAACATGTAAGAAAAATTCTTGCCTTCACTTTCATCGCGTAACTTTAACGCCAAGTTAGTACTTGTACCAAAGTCATAGGATGTTCATCAGAGATATCAGGGAGACGCTTTGAGCAAAAAAAAAATTATGAAGTATAGCTCACAGGCTTACCACAATCCGATAGCAGTTGGGCCCGCTCACCGCCTAAGTGCAGTAATACAATAATGGAGAATATACTTACATCGGTGGCAACATACATGGGTTCGAATCAGGGCCGGAATTAGACGACAATCTGAAATGAATAATAGTTCAAAATTGATTGTCAAGGTTTTCGAGGTTTGGCGCCCCTGGGCTTCAGCCTTCCTTGGCTAATGTTATATCCGGCGCTGGTTCGAATCCCATGAGAGATGAGACAATAGGATCGCTGGACTCCTCGCCGTCGCAGGATGCTTCACGTAATGGCTTGTTGGTTGCGTCTTCCTCCGTCAACCACGTTTGCGAAAGCATTGAGATTAGGGTTAGTTCGGATACCTATAATTTTTACTATCCGGATAACGGATATATCCGGGTATTCCGTATTTTAAATATCCGGTTAACCGGATAGTTACTGCTGATTTCAGAGAACCGATTTCGCAGGATTTTTGCGGTGAATTGACCAAAAACCACCACACAGTTCTATTGTAAATACTCACATATGTATTATTTTTCTTGAATAAGAATGGTTGTGCATTTTAATGTTGAATGTGTCAATAAATAATAATTTAAGCTCTGTAATCGTACCGATGTACAGCGGAATAATAAAACGAAACATTTTTTGAAAATATTGTGTCCTAATTGTTTTTCCCCCGACTGCTGAAGTTATTTTCTCCTATTTAAATAATATGTAAAGATTTATATTATTTCTACTTTATTGTTAATTTTTTTAAAAGCTTCTTTTTGTGTCTAGAGCCTCTTTTCTTTAAATTTTGATTCGTACTAAATTTTAGTGTTGCAGACTCACAATGATCATCCTATCAATTGCAATGAAATTTATTATTGTCACGTATAGTATTTTGTGTTCTATAATATTTTTTGATTTCTTGCACGACGAAATAAACGTTGTTAATATATACCACAATAGCATACATATAAATGAAATCATGAACACAAAAAATCGTGCATTTCGAACATTTGATTTCGGTGAGAGAAGTATCCAAAACAAATAGAATATAGGGGGGACAAATTCCGTGAAGTGTATAGAAAAATATAAGTAATTTGAACAAAAATTTTAATAACAAAGCAAATTGATGATTTTGAAAATAACGAAGTGGACAGGAATTTCTTCTAATTTGAAAACTTCACTTATTTAACATGTCACTGTAAATATTCTCTGGTTTGTACTAATTAGGCCACAACTTTAAATCTATTTTCATTCGAATACCTTTTAAACTAAATTAACAGAGCCAAAACAATGCTACGCCAGTTTTTGAACAACCCTAAATGAGTAAATGAAAAACATGACACGATACAAAGTCTGTCAAATCAAACTTTGCTGATATATAAAGCAGAGTATAGACCATTTTACAAACAAATTTGTTTGTGAAAGTTCCATGAAAACCATAAATGTAATAACAGCCCTTCTTCCTCTTTTAAAAACTTTTGAAAACGTCACTAATAAAGGCGGTCGAATTTTACAGGCTAATTTTGTCATCATCGTCGATCGTTTCTTCCGCGTCGCGTAATTATTTGGGGAATTAACATCGGCATTATGCCAGTTTTAACTTGAAAAGAAGTTACATTCCGTGACAAGTTACCCTTGTTGTAAATTCACTAAATACGATTATTACGAAATTTTGGCGATTCAACAGCGCCTAAAATAGAGTCTTGTTTTATCTATCACTGGCTCATAAATCAAGAGTCGTGGTATTTCGTTAGCATTTACTTCCTTCTTTTCAGTCAAAAATGTGTGCTTCAGATCTACCCTCTTAACGATAGATAGATACGACGATAGATAACATACTGCGCCCTTTCAGTTCCAGGTGAAATAAAACAATTATCGGCGTTTTATACCGACGAGACTGAACCCGACTTTTCTCCCGAAAATGTTGATATAAGCTAATTAATATCTGCATTTATTATACTAAATAAATTATTCTCATTGGAATTTCAATAATAATTTAAATTTGATGAATTTGCAAAATCGCAAAAATAAGAAATTGGGTTTATTCGTGCAGCTTACCACTTATTTTCATATCTAGAGTAGAAATGCTTTTATTTTAACGTAAGTCGGGTTCTTCTATAACGCAAATACGCAATAATCACATTTTTCTGCGTGTTTTGTGATGTAATAGTCAAGTTCACTCCAGCATTACACGGATGACTAAAATATAGGCAGAGTGGTGTGGATATAAGTGATTATTACTCTGAGAGATGTCAATGGCCACTCAACAAAAAATATAAAAATCACTAATGCACACATGCAATATTTATACTGCTCTATTATCCGGTTAACCGTTACAATAATATCCGGATATCAGATAGCAAAATACCTAATGGTTATCCGGTTAACCGCTATCCGGATAATCTAACCCTAATACAGCTTGAGAAGGCGTGTATAATCAAGTCGTACATATTTGTGGCGTTTCGACGGATTGATTGCGAATAAGAAGCAATTGGCAAGTTTTTGCATCCATTTTTCTTGTTTTAGTTTTAACTTATTCAATACAAAAATTCAAATAATGCAGACATTTTAAACAAAACAGAAACAAAAACTTGATTTAGAATAGGACGTTTTCTGCCTGCGTTATCATACATTAAAAACAGATACAGATCAAGACTAGAGGTCGAAGAAGATCTTCCAGTTGCCGTCTTCCAAATTAAACCTCGAATTGATATGTGTGTTCTAAAATCTAAACACAGAGCCTATGATTCTCATTAGGCGGAATAAATGCAATTATTTACTGTTGTTGTATATGTTTCCTACAATTTTGTATGAAAAATTGCTACTGTCAATATATACCGGTACTAGTCTTAAAATCGATATTTAATTACAAAGTATTTTCCACAAAATTATATGCTCACAAATGCTTGGGTCGCGAGAAATTGAAATAATTTTTTTAGGGTCGCGCCAAAAAGTAATTGCGGACCCCTGCAGTATCGGTACCGGTACCAGCCGTCACGATTCCATAAAAACTTGGACAGACACGATATCATAAAAACGTGTTCCCATAATTAATTAAACGGCACATTTTAGATGAAATATTAGATCTCAAAATTTGAGAACAAATAAAAGTAATAGCCTTCGAGGTATTTGCTTACAATTGCTTCTTGAATTTTCTCGTTTAGTCTGGATAACTACAACAACACCGTAAGAGGGCGATAGGGAAAATTGGCATGCGAATGTCAACGGAGTGCGACGGTGTTATATGTGAACATTTTAGTATATATGATTAGTTTCATT